TGAGTGTCAGACTCTGCAGTTACTTTGGTTGGTCATGCATGTTTTTAATGGAATTTCTTTCTTTCTTTCTTTTTGATCGAAAATGGAATATCTTTTTGTGTACATTGTGTCCTACGTTAAAGCCAGAACCCTATTTTGGACCAGATAAGTATTGCTTGTAACCACATCTTGCACAAATTATTTCTAAAGAGGACCACATAATCATAAATATATATATGTGTACATTTTTTTTTCTAATTCTTTTTTATGGTTCATTTTATGATCACCAAGATACGTACAATGTAATCATGTAAGATTTTTTTTTATATAAAACTTTTTTGTTCAAATCCTCTTTAACTAATGGTAAAAGACAAGGTAGCTCTTAAAATTGATTAATAATTTTGGGCCTGAATCTTAGGTGGAAAGGTAAGCAGAAAGAACCGTCAAAGATAAACCGTCTCAATGGCTTTCTACTGTTAGAATTATATTCTGTATATATGCAGGGCTCATGGTGGTAAAGTAAAGCCCATGCTTGAGGTCTCATTTTATCATTCATTTTCTGGGGCCACACTGTCTAATTCTGGGGCCATATTTAATCTAGTTTTAACATAGTATATAGTTACTTTTAAATTCAGTTTTCAACTTTTGAATAATTGAATATCAGTGTTAACTTTACGACATACAATTTGTTTAATATAGTTCTCATACTATTTAATGTATAAGTAATGTTATTTACTATTTTGGAATATTAATTTCTTTTTCCGTATTTAGTAGTAGTCTAAATCTTTTATACAGTTTTCATATTTCACATAGTTTATTACATTCAAAAATAGTTAATTGTATTGGGAATTTTTCTTCTTCTTCAAGTTGTCCCGAGGAAATAAAACACGTAGAAACAATCCAACTTTAAAAGAAGACAACAACAACAACAAAAAAAAAAAAAAAAAAAACTGATTATCAGCAAAATCTAGGAGAATTTAAACTAGAAATACAACAACACACACGGCCAAAATGAAAATATTAACTTGAAACGGTAAAGAGATGATGATACCTAAAACCGAAAGCAGATTAAACACTAATTGTGAATATAACTCTTATATATGTGGGTGTATAAAACTGTCGAACATATTTGCGTGTATTTGTTCTCTTAGATTCCAATTTTGATTTCAAAAATCTCTTATAATGTGTTATTGAACAAGTTATCCAAAATTCCAAACCATAGATGGTGACACTGACATCAGCAACCAAGCTGTGAAATCAGTTAGGAAAAAAGGTAAAAAAGACTGAAAAATTATCTCCCATATGGCCATATTACGACCCTAATTTATCTTTTAGACATATTATGAAATCACTAGTATATTTTCTCTATCCGATTACTACAATAATTAACCTAGTCGGTAGAAAAATGGGCGTGTATAAACATGTAAATGGTCAATAATTTGAGACATAGCTTTTCACCCTTTCTTTACATAGCTTTTCATGTTTCAAGAAGATTTTGGTCTCGTTCGTCTGAAGAGACATATTCTCTTTCCTCTCCTCCGTTCTACTTCTTCCATCTCATGTCACAGTTTTTTTAAATTCTTACTGGTTTTGTATTTTCTTGTGTCGACTAGTCAGTCAGTAATATTGTACTTTTTACTACGAATAGACATACTTAATATTTATAATACCTTATAATATGTTGGCAGGGTGTAATAATTGAATCACGTGAGCCCTTGGTTGGTCACGGTTCGGACACGTGTTTACGCGATTCGTGAACCGTAGTCAAAAAGGGGTCCAAAGCTGTCGAGAACACGAACAGTGTAGCTTAGCTAGACAGCTGGATTATCTTTTTTCCGTACGACTTTATTTTTGTTCTTCTTCAACATTTGTCGACTTCTTCACTCTCTCTCTCTTTAGACTTGTACTATAGTAGTATTTTAATTCGGAACTAATTGTGGCATTCATTAAAATCCATTCAATATTTTGGGCTGTTTATATCTGATTCCAGCTCATAAACTATTAGTGGGTGGAGAAGGAACAAAAAAAAGGTTGACGCCGACAAATAGAAAATCAAGAAAACAAAAATTGTGGGAGTTGTGGAACTGGAGGTCCTAGAGGAAGATATAAAGAATTGTGCGTAAGGCACAAAGATATATAACGGCATCCTTAATGGGGGAACTGTTTTGGGTGTTCTTAGAGTAAGAATATTATTAAAATAATATAAAATCAGGAGTTTAGATCTTTTGTTAATAAGTTGGTTATTGGGAGAACATGTGTAAGATCATAAGATTTAATAATATAATAATAAAAAAATATTACAATTTTAAAAACTTTAAAAAATAACATTTAAATTGAAAACATAAAAAACTTATACTAAATTCAAAATACAAGACCAAATTTTTATGAAACAAAAAACATTAAAGATATAAATGAAAAACATAAAAACAAACAAACTTCTTACTTAATTAAAGCACACAAACATTTTATTTAAGTAATACAAAGTTTAATATCCAAAATTATTCCATATATTCTCAATCAAATCCTCTCGTAATTGGTGATGTGCTTGTCTATCACGAATTCTTGTGTGACCATCACTTAAAAAATTCTACAACAAAAAAATATCAGAATGCACATGTAATAACTAATAATATATAAATCTATAAATAAAGTGGTATATGATGAAGAGAAACAATATACACAACGAAATTTTTTTTACGCAAGTGATCTTGTCATGTACTTATGGGGACAGATAAAAAATTTGGAGGGTACAATTTTGAAAAGAAAAAATCAGAAAGCATATGTAACAAAAAAACGAATGTTAAGAGATTTTTGTTTTCTTTAATTTAGAGACTAATACATATTGACTTGATTCTTTCGGTAGAACAAATGTTTTCTCATTTGGAGGCATTGATGAATTTGTCCACAGCCCATGTGTGCTAAAATTCGGAACCACTAGAAAAGTGCCACGTACACCGAAGAACAAGGGTTAAAACACATCTTGAGCAAGATCGATTCTCTCTGATCCAAGCCCACTATTCATTATTTCTCAATTTTAATAATGTGAAGAACATGACCCAAGTTATGCCACTACAGATGGCCTAAGTGGTCATTCCGTGTTACGACGATTTCATTTGATATACAATATTTTCATATTTTTTTTTTGGTCTTTAGAAGAATCATATATATCATCTATATATCTTCTTCTTTTTTGTCAAATTGCGGAATCATATCATAAGAACTAAAAAGATAGGAAGATCACATATATTTGCTAATTTATAAATAGAAATTTGGATTGAACACTTCTAGCTATTTAGAGTGTTTAGAAGATTAAGGGTATTGCTCATTACCATTATTGTTTTAACTATAAAGTTTTGAATTAATCTCTTGTTAAGCTTGAAATTTTTAAAAACTGTAAAAAAATTAACCTTATTGTTGTTAAAATTAAAATGGTTCTAAAATTTTATAATATTCTTTAGCTACAAGCGATTTTTCTACGAAGATTTCCAAACCTAGATTATCTAGTAGCATAAACAAAGAGACGTTTAATAATTATTATAAAAAATAACAAAAGTACAAATAATTTTTGGATGTAATTAAGTTCGTAACACATCCACATACACACACAAAAAAAAAAGATTGATTGGATCTGTATCGGCTAATAAGAGATTTAAGAACTAAGAGAATCCCTCATAGCCACATAACATATATACGTGCATGATATATAAGCAATCGTGCATATTAATTGATTCATAGTACATACAACTTTTTCAGAACTTTCTCTTGATTTGATAAGCTACAGTGCATATTCGTGGATAAATACGGCTTCAGCCTTTATCCGTTCTTACGAGTTTCTTACATTCTGAAAAAAGTAAACAGTTCTGCAAATGTAGAAAGATGAAATTCAAATCTCTTAAAAAAAAAAAACAAAAAACTTGAAAAGTCCGCGTTATCACTATTTGAGATTGTCGACATTATTGATGATGTAATAATGGAGCAACTTTTTAAATATGAAGGCTCTTTTAGAACCCTACAACCGAATGAAATATAGAAAACGACTTCTTCATAATATAATCTTTGAATAGATCCATTGCAATGATGATTAATTATTTTTTGCATGACCAACTCAGCTTGGGTGATTTTTGATTAACAGAATTAAACTATAGTATTAATCATCCGTCCTAGCCGACACAAAGTATTTAATTCGATCTTTCTTTCTTTCTTTCTTATGCCGGCATATATAAACCTGAGTTACATAGTCACTAAAAAATGAGACTACAGAGGAAACTAGGTGTATTAGAACAAGTTTACATACTAACATCGTGTATATGTATATATATTAATTTGAGTTTACATACTATTTTCTATTTTAGCTACACTCGTTCACTTTCGATTGTTCGTGTTATTATAAATGATCAGTGTAGGTTTTAGGGTAATGTTAATGAAGTTTATAAAAAAAACATGTTAATGAAGATTTAAGAAAATCGTATATCTCCTCTATTGGTTTTATGGAACGAATTGAGCGGTTAAAGAAGGCAAGAATCAATGCATATAAGTAAGTACGTACTTGATAGCTAGAAGTTAGTACGTCCTACTCCTAGGGTTGCCGACTTAACCAATTCATTTATGTTTCTTGTAAAAATACATTTTGGAGTAATAACCAAGATATTAAAAACAAAATCCTTTCTACTTGTGAGTTCAATAAAAACCCAACAGAACTGGTGACTATATGTACTCTACCGTAGATTCCAGTCCTCGCACGTTCCAATGTCTTACACAAATGAAAATATTAAAGATGATCAGAGAGAGTCGATAATAAGAAGAAAAAAAAACTAAATTTAATGCAAAAATAAATATCTATACGAACTTGTATAAGTCGTCACATCAGAAACAAAGCAAAAGATTAGAAAAACATCATCTCGTGTTTCGCGTTAGAAAGTGAAAAAACGAAAAGATACTTTAAACAAAAATCGTAGTTAACACACCAACCTCGTAGGTAAGCTATATAACCTATGGTCCCTTCGTTTTTACCACGTATTGGAGAGTATATAATCCAAGTTAAAATCTTAAATTCATTTGATAAAAATCATTGAGAGAAAGAGAGTTTGGAAACATTCCAAAACCAGACTCGAAATATTTCCACTAAATAATGATACAAACAAGAAGTATCTTTTTATAAAACTCTTACACCCAAAATAAAATAAAATGTCTCACTCCTTTTTGCCTTAAATTCTTTCTTTTTACAACAACCCAAATCTAAAATCCACATTAAAAAGAAAATTTCAGTCTCTCTGACATTTTGTCGAACACTTGGACGGCATCACAAAAAGCTAAAACCTTTCTGATTAACAATGGCGAATTCGTCTTCCGACAAGGAGAAGAAGGAAAATAGTAAGCAGCCCGTGTATCGTGGAGTCCGTATGAGGAGCTGGGGAAAATGGGTATCGGAGATTCGTGAACCACGGAAGAAATCGAGAATCTGGCTCGGGACATTTCCGACGGCGGAGATGGCGATGCGTGCTCACGACGTGGCGGCTATGAGTATCAAAGGAACTTCAGCCATTCTCAATTTCCCTGAGCTATCAGATTTTTTGCCCCGACCCGTTTCGCTCAGCCCTCGCGACGTCAGAGCTGCGGCGACCAAAGCCGCTCTCATGGACTTCGATACGGCGCCGTGTCGTTCAGAGACTGAGACGAGGGAAACGAACAAAAGGTCAGAGAGTAGCGAAACGACGACGTCGGATAAAAGGTCAGAGAGTAGCGAAACGGTGTCGTTCTCATCGTCGTCTTCGTTCTCTGTTACGAGCATTGAGGAAAGTACAGTCTCCGACGATGATCTAGACGCGATCGTTAAGTTACCGAGTCTAGGAACGAGTGTAGACGAGTCGAACGAGTTCGTGATTTTTGAATCGTTGGAGGATTTGGTGTACATGCCTCCGTGGTTAAGCGGTACGGAAGAAGAAGAAGTTTTTACGTATAACAATGATTCTTCGTTGAATTACTCATCAGTTTTCGAATCTTGGAAACATTTTCCCTGAGAAAAAGAACCCATCCACCATCTTTTCTCTTTTTCTTTGGCCATTTTTTGGTGATGATGGGATTAATCTCTCTCTTTTTGCTTTGCGTGAGATTTCTCTCTTTGTGGAATTACATCACTTTTTGTTCAAATCTCCAAGTCTGTGTATATTTCTATGGTTTTTGCCGAAATAAAATAATGACTGTAGCCTTCCAAATCTTTTCACTTTCTTTTTGCGAGATCATTAGAAATCTATCTAGAGAAACTAGGATATGTGGTCTGTATTAGAGTATATAATTGATTAAGATCGGTTTAGGTTAACCGTGTATTCAATATCGGTTTATTTTCTGTGAACCAGAACCCTCTCAATATATAAGAGGCTTCAATAGTTCAATATATATATAACCTTTTCTAAGCAAGATTAATGAGAATCAGTTTGTTTCTTTTGCTCTCTAACAAACTTTTCTTCATTCCGTTAATCGTCTAACAGTTTGACTCAATACTCCAGAATATGTAGCATACGTACGTTGTACTGATGTTATTATCCGGTTCAGATTCAGTTAAGTATGCATGTGTGAATTGTTGAAAAAATAGTAATATATAGGAATGTGGTCTCCCAGCTTAAACACCATTTATTTCACCCATTTCACATTTAACTAGCCTGAAGAAATAAATTTATAAAAAGTACTTGATTATTGATGCATCATTTAAAGCTTCTACATAAAGATACAATACTATGCGCATAGTTAAATACAACTAGAAAATATCTAATGTGTAACACTACAATATGGAAATAATTGTTTTTTGAGAGTGCTAATCTTAATCAAATAGTAGAAAACATATATTATTTCTTGACTAACTAAATATCTTAGAGCATGTGCAATAAGAGTCTCTCACTCAAATCTCTCATATAAAAAAATAAAAAAAAAAGATAATAAAATGTATTATTTAATGATGAGAGTCTCTCGTAAAAGTAGAAAAAGTCTCTCAAAGTTTTTCGCTTGGTAGACTCTTAATAGGTTTTCATCATTAAGTAATACTTTTTATTATTTTATTTTTATATTTTTTACATGAGAGACTTGGGTGAAAGACTCCTATTACACATGCTCTTATGACTCTAAAGAAATCACTTGACAGACTAATTCATTAAACTCTATCCAATAAGCTTCCTTTCCTCGAGGGGTTGACATTCTAAGGAATTTAACCTCGACAGCCTGAATCCTGATTCACCATAGCAAGATTTGTTTTTAGTCGATGTTCAATCTTCTATAGTCTACACTTCGTATACTTAACATATTTACACATGTATCCACAATGACCTAAAATTAAATGATATCTTATTTCATAGATATAAAGTAAAATATTAAACAAGAGTTATGTGATCACCACAAAGTGGCGATTTTGAGACAATTTATATAAGACAGTTGATATATATTTATAGCATGGTTGTTTTAATCTTCATACAAGTTTCTGACGATTTTTGACAACACTTATTATCCTTGTTTTGCAAAAGGTAGTTAACCAGTATGTAATAATTGCCAATTAATCCGCGCCTAGTTTTTCTTTAATCCATGCCTATGCTCTCTAATTATTTTATTAAGAGAGATATTTGGTTAATAATAAGTTGGTGTCGTATGGTTTAGAGAAATAACTGTATAAGCTGATCACGCTGACAGTGAATTTGAAAGGAAAGAGACGTTTTACGTTTTGTTTTAATTGTTCCATGAAATTGTGAAAGGCAACGTCCACGTGTATATTTTGCTGTGTGGAAGGCAATAAACGCTGCTTTTAATTTGTCTCCGATCCATGGAAAAAAGCAATTTATTCACTTTGGAAAACAAAAAGAAAAAGAAGATATGGACAGAAGTGAAGTCATATTTTGATTGGTTCAATTATCGCTCTCTAGTCTCATTGTCCTATTCACAACTACATCTCACTATTATTTTGTTTCATTTTCTGTCCTCTAAAAAGAAAGCAAGGACGAATCATTGGCCGATGATAGTACTGATCAAGATAGGACCTTAAATCTACCGTCTAAGTAGACTAAACATTTTAAGTGTGCGTCTAAGACTTTAACGGATCCATAAATATAAATCTGTTGAATCCAATTACATTTGTTATTTTTGATCATTCAAAGTGATTTTATCTTACTATTAGTCGGATCGTAGCTACTGTATGCTAACAAAAGAATATATAAAGGAACAATTGGCATTGGTGCAAATGAAGAGATAATCTCTTAGAAACCCGGTGGTAAACGGTAGTTTGTTTTCTTGTTCTTTAATTTCAAAACTAGCACTCAAATACTTATGTTTACCAGATGATTTAACGAGTCAAATTTGAAACTAGACAATCATTAATTTGTGATGGACCATTTTTTTTTTTTGATAAACCCTATCGGCTGATCCGGTCAACTTCGGTAGGGACGCACCGAGGTGCTACAGAGTGGACTTCTCCCGCGGTTCAACGATTCAACGATTCAACAGACACCATGAGCTCCGAGCGGACTCGGGTCGAACGGGCCATGAAATTCATGAGATCCATGAGATCCATGAGATCCAGAATTGGGCCACCACACTGCCTGATCCGAGTTTGGAGTGCCTTTCGACTATGCCAGGGGGTAGTCAGGCCGCTTGCATTTCTGGCTACCAGATAAACCGACAGATTTCCCAAACAAACGTGTTTTAATTTCCAGGGAGAATCGAACTCAGGTTTGAGAGTTTCACCATTTTCCAAAGCTTCATCTGCCACTAGACCACAAATGTTTGGGCTAACGGACCATTCTCTTGTAGTATATTAAATCTTAAATGCACCGTCCAAAAAAAAAAACACAAACCCTTAAATGCATGCAAGCCATGTCTATTGACAAATGGGAGAGTGTATGTGAAAGTTAAAAAAGAAGAAGAAGAAGCTTACTTACAAGTCTACATCACAATTCACAAGTGGTGAAATCAAGCGCTGGGATACACGCATCATATTTAAGTTTAGAATCCATATAATTCACAAGTGGGTTTTCTCATTGGGTTATAATCAATCGCATAAGATCTCTTCGCATGAATTATTGCGTTTAGCTCTCCAGCAACACTTTTTAGTAAAATCCTATTCACTTTACGTTTCTATTCACTGACAGCGAAATCCTAACAAGAGTGGCTCCATGTGTATTTAGTGAGTTTTTCCTTATTTCAACTGTTGTGTCGGTGTTATTTTTGTTTTGTTTTATGGCATCATAGCTTGGTGAATTCTTATTTACAAGACGCTGTTATGTCGCAATATGATTAGAGTCTGCAAGTATTAGGAGAGTTCGAAATAATCCATTTTTTCTTAAGTTGAAATGATCCCTATATATATATATATATATTTCATGGTATATACTATATACTATACTAGATTAGGACCCATCTAGCAAATTCTTGAAAAAATATTATTTAATAAGATAGTGAAAAACAATTCTTTGGAAATAAATGAACTCGATGTTCCTTCAACTAGAATCCCTCCTAGCAGCCAGCATCATTGTAATTTGTAATACTTCTGTCTAACGTTTAAAATTGCAATATGTCAGCCATTAATCCAAAAATTCTGTTTTGTTGTCAAATATTGAAAAGGTTACTGTATTAATCTACAAATATTGTGTGAATTAATAAAGTAAATTTTATTATAGAGAGATAAAAATGTGTAAACCCTTATTACGGCCTTACCTTTTATGATTATCAGAGAAATAACATTATCAGTAAAAGTTCATATATTTTCGTTCTCCTTCACTCTCGACATCACTTTCGCTATAAGACGAAAAGAGAAATTAATAGTTAACTACTGGAGAAGACAATGTGTTCTCTGGTTCGGTTGGCTCAGTCTGTATAATAAGAGACCACCCGATGCGCTTGGGCTTGGGCTTGAGCTTCTACTTATCCTTTTTGGTTTACGTCAAAAGTAGAATTTAGGTTCAACCAATACTAACGACTTTATTAATGTAGTTAATAACATGCTTCCAGGGCCGGTCCGAAGTTTCTAAATTTTTTTTAATGCCCTACGCATAATTAACAATTTGGGCCTTTTTGTTAATATAAAAAAAAAAAAATTCTCCTAAAAAAAGTGTTTAACAATGTGAGACCCTAAGCGGTGGCTTCACTTGCTTGCCCTCCGGACCGGCCCTGCATGCTTCACCACGCATCTACCTTCTGATGAAATGGTTTTCGCGTCCATTACTTTAATGTTTGATTGAAGATTGTATAAATATGAAGTAATTATATATATTATTATACCAAAAATACGGGGTTGGCTTGTTTACTTGTAGACGACCCCATATACGTTCTTATAGGAGCACAAACCCAAATTTGATTATATTATTGTACGTTCTTTGGATCGGAGCACAAACCCAAGTTTGATTAGTAACATTATATACTACTTATGGTATGGATACCAATCTAGGCCCAATCTATGGCATATATATATATATATATATATATATATATATATATATATATATATATATATATATATATGCCCACATGGGCCATGGTGAAAACAGGAAATATCGAAAACAAAGGTCAGCAAATTAAGCCCTAGTCCAAATCCTTCACCTAATTTGTAGAAATTATATGGAAAGTAAAAAAATTAAATCCTTGTTTGAGACAGAATTTAATATTATGTTTCACATAGACAACAGTTTATTGGTATCAGGTAAAAAGGTTGGTAAGTTTTTCTTAGCGTAAGATAATTATTCGTATACCATGTATACCAAATCTCACAAAAATTGTGAATGAACAAGAACAAATAAGTTTTAGCTAATGTAATAAAGATACCAATTTTTGGAAAGTTTCACCCTAATTGTAAAAAATAGCGTACTCACCGAATGGTGTGTCCGACGGAATTGGTGATAAGGAAATCCCCTTTTTTTTTTTTTGTGTAGTGGGTTAACAGATTGACGGACTCTGTTTTTTCGAGTTTTGAAGATTACTCTATTGTTTTCGTAAAATTGTTAGGATTTTGCAATGGTTTTGCTTTTGAGATGGTCTTTTGACTCTTTTCTATATAGAAGGTACGTGATCATTCGAAATACGAGAGTTGACCATTGGAAACAAATAATCATTTCAGATAATTAATATCTTCAATAAATATCCCTAATCAAGGCGCACCAGTTGAACCATTTATTGGAGTCTTGCGAATGATAATTCAACAACTTCCAGCAAAGATGCAACTTCCTACGACATTCACCTAACACCAA